GTGCGTCTGAACGAATCGCGACAAGTACTATTTGAAAAAGCTAGTTTCTGGTGCGGATTGAAAGTTTTGAGGGCGAGAGGGGTATAGAATGGGGCACCAAAGATGTACATTCGATAGAGCTCGTCAAGATCTACCTGGAAACTCAATGAGTAAGTTCGAAAAGATTCCTGGGCGAATCGCGACAAGTTTATCCAGAATTGTCTGCATTTTACACGTTTTTTTGATGATATTTAGGGATTTTCGCGGTTTGAGAGGAGCTAAAGAAAAATGAATTATGGGGTTGAATAGAGCTCGTCGAGTTCTACTTGGAAAGTTGTTAGACTATTTTGGAAAGTTTTCTGGAGCGAATCCTTTCAGGAAATACTCGAATCCTGACCTAAGATATCCTACATGTATCTGAAGTATATTTTGAATATTGTTTATGGCGAAACAAAGCCTCTTTAACCAATATAACGAAATCAATTCAAATTTGGCACAACGACAAAAATCCGTCTTGTCAAAGTAGATTAAAATAGGTTACGAATAATGTAACTTTATTAACATTACTTTGGGGACTAGAAAAATTCGATGGGAGTGTCATATTCAATGCAAAATAATACGTCTATTTTTACGTATTATTAAATCGACTTTTTAAAGTAAGTCCTTTTTGAAGTTATTCGTTATTATTGTTTTTGTTACTCAGAGTTATACGGAGTAAATTTATCTGAAATAATTAAATATTTTTTTTCTTTATTTTAGGTGAATTTCAACATCAAAATTGAACTGTAAGTATTTTATTTAATTAAATAAATTTTTTTCTTTATTTTAGGTCAATTTCAACATGGAAATGAAACAGTACGTATCTTGTTTAATTAAATCATGTTTTTTTATTTTAGATCAATTTCGACATCAAAAGTGAACAGTAATCATCGTATTTAATTAAATGAATTGTTTTTCTCTATTCTAAATCAATTTGAACATGAAAATTGAACAGTAAGTATTTTATTTAATTAAATCATTTTTTTTCTTTATTTTCGGTCAGTTTTAATATCGAAACTGAACAGGAAGTATCTTATTCAATTAAATAAATTTGTTTTTATTTTAGGTAGTGGTGCAACAAACCCTGTTTATCTGCATAAAACTGTAAATTTTCGATATGAAACTCCCAAATCTAACCAAATCTTCGTGTCAATCATAATCAGTTTTATTCGCTCTATCTGATACTGATATTTATTTATCAAATCTAAAAAGAGTACTTCTAAGATTTGGTAGCATTTGGTGGAAAAATGCACTTTTTACTAAATACTACCAAATCTTAGAAGTACTCTTTTAAGATTTGATAAATAAATATCAGTATTAGATAGAGCGAATAAAACTGGTTATGATTGACACGAAGACTTGGTTAGATTTGGGAGTTTCATACCGAAAATTTACAATCTTTATGCAGATAAACAGGATTTGTTGCACCTCTATTAGTATCAGGTTTAGCTATAGAATTCCTATAGGATCCCGTCGGATCCTGCACTTTCCGACATCTTCCAACTGGCGGATTTCTGTCGGAATTTATCGGATTAAGTCAGATTTCCAACAGGATCCAACGGGATCCTGAACCTGGATTACTCGCCCTGGGTACATTTGCATACCGGCTAAATGACTATTAAACATTTTTAGAAATTTGCACATAAATTTCACATATGGATCTCCAATATAATTCAATAGTTCTTGGAATTGATCTAAAATTTAGTCCACACGGAAAAATATCAATGTGGTCAACCGCAGTTGAAACTGGTTTTCTTTTGTCCAAATTGTCTTTTAGGTCATATAAAATATGCGAGATCTATATTTCAGCTACAATGAGGCTACACCAACTAGTTGTTTGTTACAGACACTCTAGTTTTTGTTTGCCTTGTTGCTATTTCATTTTCGCATTCCGTTTTTCTTATCTTTGACATTATTGTCTTAACCATTGATTTAACTGACAAATAAGCTCGTTGTACACATCCGTTATATCTACAGCAGACATGGGTTCCATAAAGTCAATTTATTAGGGAAAGCAATAAAGTATTGAATGAATCTATTTTGTCTTCTCTCTTCCCAGCAGTAGACATTCTCACAGCAAAAACTTCGTCGCTCGAGTATTAAATCATCTGACAGTGTATTACAAGCTTTAAATTATTGTATTCTCATCTTGATGTTCATGTAAACAGTTGTCTGAAATTTGAACAATTATTCTTTTCTTGAAAAAATTATAGACGTAAAAATCAACTGGAAAGATAGAAGGGTTGTTCTTCAGATTGTTTAACTATTTAATATTAGCAGCTATTTGATTCTCTCTCTAATTGTGAACTAATAGATAAAGTTTTTTTCAGACATTTTCATTTTGATTTTAAATTTTGTTAAAAATAAAACTGAAACAAACTACGAATGTCGAATGGGAAGTTCAATTTTATTGGTAACAAATAGCAAAGAAAATTAATCATTGTGTATCATCCATTGAATGTTGATTAATCAGACTTCAATTCTTTTGATGAAAGTCGTCAAGTATTATATAAGCATTTTGAGAGAGATTAGAGTCAATTTACAATTATGCTATAGGCCGTGATGCAACAGTAAACTTTTGAGATTGCTTATTGTGTCAGAAGAGAGTTAAAATAATCATGTCGTGTATATACATAATGGGAAGTGTATTCATCAAGATAACAATAAATAAAATCATGAGACTATGTGTCAATCCTCCTACATGAACTACATAGTCGATTTGAATATAAGTATATGTTGAGATAAGCAGTCTTACTTTAATATGAACAGGAGGCATGATCAACTCAGGAAAGCAATTACTATCCTTTGTGTAGTGTTGGTATGTTGTTCATGACAACAGGTCTCAACGCACTATTATGTATCTCCATAACCTCAGGAACATTAATATTGTTTACTTTTCAAAGTTCTAAGTTGATCAGTGGACGCTTTTTTATTCTGATCATCTGGCGACTGTGGCAATTCAATGCCTCGCTACTTATTGTCATCGACCTGTTAAATACAGATTTTTATCTGCGCAAAACTCAAAAGTCGCATTATTTAGAATATTCACAAACGTATTCCGGCCAATTAAAATTGGAAGGAATCTTTCGAGTGTTCTAGAACACTCTAAGTCTTATTTTTACTGTCGTTCAGCGCCTTTTTCTGTTGCGAAGAACTCTTTTTATGAAAGGCTGAGCCACATTTCATATTGAATAATTTTTAACTCTTCTACAGTTTTTATGAATCCGACGAGCCCCACAACACTGTTTTTCGTTATTTTTTACTTAAAGATCTATCCTTTTGGGAACCATCTTTCCACTAATCGTTAGTCTTCTACAGATGCACAAGTGTCATATCAAATGTCGTACAAAAATTTTACCAGTAAGAGACTGAAATGTGGATCTGCATGGGCCCTCTAACACCTTTGGTGTTATATAGATGTTTTGTTTTATTCATATTACATCTGCCCTCTATTGTCTTGAGAGTTTATTTACCTACAATTCGTTACTTCAACACTGACAATAGTGAATCGTGTGTCTTTTTATCTTTGTCTGATGGATTTTGTTATATTTTGGTCGAGATATTTCTGCCATCGACTTTGATCATAGTCATGACAATCATACTCGAGTTTTTTCCATTGAAAACAGCCATCCTGAAAACTTCAAAATTTGTTCAAGCACAGAACTTTTAATATAAGTGACCATACTATAGTCATATACATTGTTCATTCAATAACTTTTTAAAGCCGTAATTTTATCATAACCTCTTCTCAAAAACTTTTTAAAAATGCAATCATTCTCATATATCACAAGCATACACTAACGTGTTCGCGCTTCGATGAAAATCATGATATAAGCTTTAATTCATCAGATCTAGCGCAAAATGGACAAAAAAATCAAATTCTCCTAAGTCATTTACATGTGGGTTCCACTGGATCCATAAAATACTATTTGTGTGATAAAATGAGAATACCGTCCGATGGTTAACTTACAACACAAAAACGTTCGTTGTAAGCGGCTTATAAGAAAAAAAAAGGAAAGATTATTACATGCCCTTTATATTACTACTAGCGAGAATCCGTGCATACTGCACGGTGGTTTTTTATCATCGAAAGCAAGTTTTTCGTGAGGATCAGGGGATTATTAGATATATACTTAAAATCTTTATCTCCGTTCTATCAAAACAATTTATTTACATCATTTTCATTTCATTCTAAAACAACAAATTTACAAAATTTCTTTGAAAACAATGTTTTTAGTTTTATGTCTTTCACTGTTTTTTTCTTCTTTGATGATTTGTACTTTGATAGACGTTAGAGAGCGAACCCTTGAAAAAGCAACATAGAGTTGTCCATGGCTAAAAACTGGTCGTCGTAGAAGTAATCCTAATCGATCAAAAGTCTGCCTTTGTGATTTGTTAATTGTCATAGCAAATGAAAACCGAATAGGAAATTGATGTCTACGTAGTTGAAAGGGCAAAAATGGATCAGACGGTGTCAAAGTAATTTTTGTTATTAGAACTCGGCTTCCGTTGTTAGATCCAGTTGCGACTTCACAATCAATCGTGTGATTTAGTAGACGTCGCACAATCAGCCGAATTCCATTGCATAGATCTTGATGAATATCAAGGTTGCGAAGAAGCATAACAATTGCACCGATCTTTAGTTTAAGTTTATGAGAAGGCATTCCTGATGGTGTAAGGCTATTCAAAAATTCTGTGGGATAGTTGGTAACATCATCACCATCTTCACATTCTACTTCATCCACACTTGTGTACGTTTTTTCTGTTCCGGATAGCCGTTGAAGAACTTCTTCATTTATCAGAAGAGAATGTTCATTTTTGGGACAAAGAATTGTTCTGTTGCATAGAGTTAGAACATCTTCTATAGAAATGTGTTGGCCAAAGATCTCCTCGACAAAATTACCGTTTAACATAAAGGAGTTAGGCAATTCGATTTCATCATCTTCGTTCGATGTTAATTCACCATTGCCAAGCTTAATAAGTCACTTTGAGAACTCTTCTTCACCTGGTCCTGTTTTCATGTTCTGGTGTAGATGCATGACTTTGAAGTAAGGCCAAAGGTTGGAACTTTTGAGACTTGCTGCAATTAATTCTGATCTGTTTGCAAGCCGAATAACTGGAAGAACTTGTCGAAAATCTCCACCGAGTATCACAATTTTTCCTCCAAAAGGTGCATCGATGTTCATTATATCTCTCAGCAAAATATTAACTGCATTGAGAGCATAAGATTGAGCCATTGTTGCTTCGTCCCAGATAAAAACTTGAGCCTTTCTAATCTCTTCAGCCTCCTTACTTCCTTCAGGCAATAAACTTGCAGCAATTCCTGTCCATGCAACTGTCATAACATGTACTTCTTGTCCCATGAATAAATGGTACAGGGTGTTATAAAGATAGGTTTTTCCTGTACCTCCAGGATCATTGGTAAAAAAATATGAGCCAGCAGTGGTGGTTGATTGTTTACGATGACTTGCAAGAATTGCATCTGCTACTGAACGTTGATCTAAATTCAACATTGCATACATTTCTTGTCCTGTTCGAAATTCTTCTTCTTTATTGATAACTTTTGATTCAAATGAATAAGGAACAGGTGTTGATGATGGTATACCAAAATCACTGCAACTGCGGCCTTGTTCTTTCAGTTTTTCATCGATTGCATAAAATCCCATTGCTTCTGCTATTTCAGCATCCACCTGTTGCATGAAGTACTCGGCCATATGTGCTTTAAATGAATTCCAGAGGTCTACAGGTTTTGCTGGATTACAGTATAGAAGTATCACACAGAAAAGTGTTCTTAGTTGTTGTGGCATCTGGAAGATAACGGCTTCAGGCATGCATCTTTCATATTCAGTATCATCACATAATAGACCTCGTCTTTTAGCAGCTTCCATAAATGTTTGACAGACTTGACCATCTACTGTTTTAAGATCATCAAAACTACAGGCACCAGGAATATATAACAGTAATAATCGAAGATGATTGTGTTCTACATCACTGGGGCTGATGGAGTACATTCTACCGATGACGTTTTCACCTTGTAGTCGATCCTTCCATGTTCCATTACGTTCAAAAACAAAGTGCTGTGGAATATCATGGTAAAGATATTGTCGAGCATCTGGATTTTTTGAATTTAATTTGAACCATGCAGTAAGTGTCGTGTCTTTCATAGTAGCTCTTTCCAATGCTTGTCGTTCGTTTTCTTCAGCAAAATAAACTGGTCGCTGATTTTGGAAGATGGACGGCTAATCGAATAATAGCATGAGACTTATTATGTAATGGAAATTCAAAAGTCTTCATGCAGCTTCAGGTGCGCTTACGTATCTTGCATCGAGATGTGCTTTAATTTCATCCCATTCCAAAGTTCCTTGAGCAGCAGCAACACCTTCTTGAACTGGTCGTTGTGATTTAATGTTAGCACAATCATGTCCCTTGTAAATGTATTTAAATAAATATTTGATACTTTTCACAGTTGCACAAATTTCCACATTAATATGAGCATTGTATTTCATTAGTAAATATGGGTTATATGGGACTATCCACCTATTGTCAACTTCATACTTGCCAATAGTCATAGCAATTCCATTATCTCTTCTTCGATATCGCGGATATCCATCCTTATTCGGAAGAGTATCATTTTGAAATTCTGTTGAGCACTTGTCATCTTCCATGCAAGGAGAATGTGGGTTTAATGTTCCACATGGTCCATGAATCATATGCCTTCTCACACATTCATATAATTGTGGAAATTGGACATGATCCGGTATTTCACTGCAGACGATATGGTCAATGTGATTTTCATCTTTTGGGTTATCTTCGTTGGCCAAAATGACAAGCATGTGACAATGTGGTAAGCCATGCTGTTGAAATTCGATTACGAAGACATTGGCTATGGTTCGTCCTAATATATGTTTCTTGAAAATATCATCAATAAGTTCATTAAGTTTGAGTTTAAAGACTCTGGTAATTAGATCAAGTCTATCGAAAGGAGTTTATCCAGGAAAAAGCTGCTCTTCGATTTTCCTCCATGTTGGGAAAAGCGATATACCACGAAACAGTTTTAATTCGTGCAAAACGGGTTTAGGTTCTTCTCTAGGTTTAATATGAAAACGATGAAATTTGTACCAGAAACCTTCTTCTCTTGCTGAAGTCGTTTGTACAATAGACCGATTATTTAGAGTAATGCTATGTTTTCCGACAGATGTAATTCCTGCCATTTTGACACAAATTCCGTGATACAACTATTGATACTCCTTCTATGTTGGATCGTAAATCTTCTGGATAATTTCCTCTTTCCGTTTTAGCACACACAGTCATTATACACGCAGATTGTGAAACATTATCTTTTAACAGGTTTTGTTTAGCTTGACAAATTTATGACTTTCTCACGGCGCAATTCTCTGCTATTGAAATTTCTGATAAGCTGTGCACACAGAAAAACAATGTGACACATGAATCGTAAAATATGACACATTTTGCATCACAGTTTTGCAACAGATCCCATACATTCCCAATCCGTAGTTCGAGTCTAATCTATGTCGATTTGGGGTGTGGGTGTGTATGTCGGTGGGAGTGACGAGAAGAGTCACATCCACACCCAAATCCCACACTCACATACCCGTATCCACCCTTCGCTTGGATGCATATGTCAATAAGATTAACGATAAAGTAAAGAGAAGGAGTTGTTTATTTCCTTTTGAATATAATCAACAGACTTCTTTTATTTAAAGTTTCAAAAAACTTCTGATGAGATATATTTCCATAATAGAGTTTACTCAATTGTTTTCATTAGATCAATCGAAGTCAGCTCAGATCTTTAAAGGTATATATACAGTTTTTTCCTATCATCGATTTTCATGCAATAATTATTATAGAATAGTTTTATATTTATATGAACAGTATCAAAATTGCATCGAAAACTGAAAAATCATTTGATAACTTTCATCAGTTTCAATCTACCATCAAGCCGAAGAACATTCACCTACTTTGCTCAGATTTTTTTATATAGTAAATTATATCAATGGAAATCATATTTAACAATAAGAAAATGATTATCTTCGAACAAATTTATCTAAATAATGTTTATTTATGACTAGTCAATATATACACATAGTTGCCATTGCCATTAATAGCGCAATATTCGAAAACACCTACTACAGGATGGACGTCTTCCGATGATGTGTGTTGATGATAAATAATCTTTTAACCACTGAATAAGTTCATCATTGTTTGATGTACTTTCATCATTAGAATTATCATCGTTTGCTAATACTGCCAAGTGTTTGGAATTCATTTCAACTTTACACAGAACATGTAATTTTTGAAGATTGATCATGTTTTTCACGAGACAAATGACACTTTCACGATTTTTGACATCAATGAAAAGCACTTCATACTGAACACCCAATGGTGTATGACTCAATGTAATACATTCTTCTTCATTAAATACACGATTAAAACTTCGTAAATCAAGTTGACGAATTGATGCATTTGTATATTTGAATAATGACATTTGTAATGGTAATAATGCATCTTGTCGAATATCTAGTCTGTTAAGATGAGGTGTTTGATCAAGTAAAGATTTCTAATTGAGATTGAAAAATATCTGTATAAGATAATATTCTAAGTGTTTGTGATTGATTCAAACTTGAAACAATAGACCAAAATTGATCATTGATAGGAAATTTTATACAAAGATATTCAATGTTAGGAAGACGAATGTGAGATGGAATCGACTGGTCAAAGAATGATTCATTATGAATTTTAGTTATATTGTTATAAAACTCTTGTTCATCATCATTTGAATATGTTGACTTCCATGAATCAGGAAGCTTATTTTTCATATAATTCGATGTAGTAGATGAAGTGGAGAGATAAATAGTTCTATTATATCTAAGACATTGAACAAAACATTTATGTTCATTAATCCAAAATGAACTTTGAAATGAATTAATTAAATTATCAGCTCGTTTTTGTATATTTTGATTGAAACGAAATGTGTCGCTCATCTTGAGTTTAAATACTTTAAGTTTTAGCAAGTAATTACGAATGATTTGTTCCCATTGATTACCATTGATCAATGTACACCATAAACTGATATCCAACTGACGTAAATTAGGTATGTTTTGCAACAAGGAAATCGTTTTTAAAGTCTCCGATATTTCAAAAATAGTAATCTTCAAATTGCTTAGTGTTAGAAGTGAAGATAGTGTGTAGTCTTCATCGATACAGAATTCAATGCACACTGAAAGACGTCGAAGGTGAAGTGTGTGTTCAAATAATCGATTTATCTGATTAGATTTAACTTTACTTCTCCATATAGATAGACACTGGATAGATGAGAAAATAATTATTCGTATACAAAAAAAGTTTTGTTCTCCAATTTAAATATCAAAATCACAATGAATGAGTTTTGGTAAACTCCAAATCTTATTGATAATTAATTGAAAATTAACTTAATCGTTTGAACAAGAGCAAGAGTCGAAATATAAATGAATGAGATTACAAAGATGATGACATTCATTGATAATTTTCATTAGCATATCATATGAATAAAGGTTAGATACTGAAAGTAATCGTAATTGATTGAATTGAGTAAATGATGGTATATAAGAAAAAAACAGATTAATTTGTTCTGGAATATCTCTATAGTCAGAAAGAGAAAGTTTAATAATTCGATTAGTAACAAAATAATAAATGTTGTTGACATATCATATCAAAATTACGTTTTGACATAAATTCAAAATTAAAACAATAGAATCGATATTGCTTATAAAGGAGAAAATTGAAGCAAGAATTGAGACTATAAAATGCACGAAGAAGATCAATACCATCGAAATAATCAAATAGATCAAGTAAGATTTCATTCAGTAATAATTCTAAATTCATTATATTTTTTTTTCTTCATTTACAACTTCTATTGCCATATGTAATAAATCATAACACAATGTTTCGTATAAGATGATTGAATATAATAGTCTATTTGTTCATTTTATCTGTTACAAGTCAATGTATGAATCGATTCTATGAATAATACGAAGTCTGATAAAAAAACATGACGGAAACTATGAATCATTCAAGTAAATAAAAAAAGTATAGATGAACGACATGACCAGTCTGAAATATTGGTATAGTCCGTCAGGTCTAATCTATTTTTCTATTGATCTCGTCCAGCCTAGTCAACAACGAAAAGAAACAATTCAGTGACTTAAAAAATTTTAAAAAATCATGAATTTCATGAATTTTATGTCAAAAACATAAAGAAAAATGGGTTTGAGTGTACATTAAAGGAGAACCCACACGCATCCGTGAACGTTGACCGATATTGAGCCTGACATGTTGGCTTGCATTATGAACACGACGTAACAGAAAAAGCTTGTTAGCACAACCTCATTGGGGCAGAAATGTGGAACTCACATATATTCTTTAGCCTTGTTAAACTAGTACAAAATAGATGAAGTGAAAAACCTTTCATAGACTATAATTGCGTTCGAACATAATCAACTAGCAAAGTAAAGATTTGTCTTATTTATTTCTGTCTTTCGAACAGAAATTTTTATTTTTTCTACGAGCACCCTATTTATTGTTTGCATTATTGATATTCGCTCATTACTTTTCAATTTTTTAAATTCATGTTTTTCTAACTTAATATTCTTATTAGGATGTGGCTGTGGCTGTAGATGTGGATGTCAGATTCTTTCTAACCATACCCACATCCATTTGAATTTTATTTAGCAGTTTTTGTTAAAGATTTTCTTGAAACAGTAAAAGAATTAATGATTGATGTAACACAATCGTTTTATCAAAATTTTAAACTGATTCTACAATATACTATGTTATAATGTGTAAAAATAAAGGTGCACATTATAGTACAATGTCGCTATAATTTAAATGAAATAATTCAAATGAATTTGACATATTCTGAAATATATGAATCATATTTCAATGAAAAAATCAATCAATTGAATAAACATCTGAATGAATAAGTATTGTGAAATTTCAAGCACAAATTGACCTTGCAAATGATTAAAAACAAAATGAAAGAAAGAAAGAAAAATTATGGTACATGTACACATGTTTTTTCTTCTTTGCATCGTGAACAAGATCAATACAGATTTTTTTCCTTGCACCTGTAAATGAAAAAAAAGTCATTTTTCTAAGCCATGGAACGTCAAACAACTCAGTTAGATCTAATAGTATTTCTATTTTTTCTTCAAATTCAACCAAATCACACATATTCTATTTTCAATCTAAATAAATATTTCAATAACTCAATCAATTAAAATTCTTCTTTTGCATCTGTTTTCATCTTAATCACTTAAAATATAATTAAAAAAAATTTTTTTTTTCTTCAAACAATTCACTAATAATTTGAACATTATCAATTCTAGATTTGTGAATTTCAAATGGGTCAACATTTGTCTAGCATCAATTTACAAATAGTTAATTTACTTGAATCAAGTTATTCTATTCCTAGTCCAACTGCAATTGTATCTAGTATTGGTTCAGAAGATATTAGTTTATTTTTATCGTCAGAAATTTCATCGAATACAATTAATGATAAATATCAAATATCAAAACAATGGACTAGACAAATTCAAAATTATCTATATCATTTAATACATATACCAGAATTTGAAATAATCAATATTCAAATGGATAATATATATACATCTATAATTACTGATTATAAACAAATAATACAAAAAATAAATAATAATTTTGAAAACCAAGAACAATTAAGAATATCTTTTTTAAATAAAATTATAGATGATAATGATAATAAACAACAATCTTCATCAGTATCAAAACGTTCTATTATACAAAAATTAACTGAAAGACATGTTTCAACAAGACCTCATCATTCATCCAGATCAATAATAATAGATTTATCATTATCAAATAAGCGAGTTACAGAACAATTAGAAACAATTTTAAAGAAATTTTTAACTTCCAATATATCATTTAAAGATATTCTTTTTGTCTTAAATCAATTTCTATTTGATAAAAATAATATTTATGATTTACGAAATATTTTTATACAATTTAATGATCGATTTTTATCACATCGTCGTGAATGGGAAAATGAACAGATGACAAATAATAATAATAATAATAAAATAGTAAAACAAACAATAGGTTAGATTTTATATTTTCAATGAAATCCAATTTTTTAATTTTTTTTTCTTTTTGAATATTTTCAGATGCAAAATTATTTGCTCATTTAACTTCACTTGGAGCATTTCCAAATGCTCGACTTAAAAACATGCTTATAAAACAATTCACAGGACAATTTATATCATTTTTTATTTTGACACATATTGATTTTCATAATACAATTAATATGAATAAACAGTTTAATTCTGGTTCAATTCATAATTCAATGTCATTTGAATTTCATCCAGATACATATAAACAATTATTTGATATTATCAAACAATTATCAATTATACCAACGAAAGATTTAAATATAAATCTTATTTATATATTAATAATTTGTTTAAAATTATTTTCAACACATCTAAAATTTCTATTTACAATAACAACAAATTCATTTAATGATTTATTATTAACAACTGATAATCAAATAAAAATTGATCGTATTAATCAAGAAATTAATTTAAATGATTTGACTATTTCTAATGATGATCTACAAATATGGTTTGATACTTTATTAATATTAGCTTGTCGAAATAATGAAAATTCAGAACAAATAATAATTTCTAGTCAAGCATCAAAATGTCTTATTCAAATTCTTAATAAAAAAATATCTTCATTTACAGAAAAATTATCTTTTATTCATCAATATATTATTGAAAATAAATTTTATATATTAATTGAAGAATTATTAATAGAATTCAATACTAATACAACATTATTAAATTGGATTGAAATTTTATGTAATAATATAGTAGAAAATACAAATGCATTTAATATATTATATTTATTTTTGGATATTTATTTTAATCCTTCAAATGATATGCAACCAAAAATAAAACAACAAATTCAACAAATTATACAACGTTTCCAACAATTTATTTTCATGCAATTATCATCAACATATTCTCTTGCAAATATATATATTTCTTATATATTAAATAATTTCATTAGTAAACTAGAAATCATAAATGATTTATTGAATCCAATTCTTATCGGTCTAGGTTTAATGACAGAAACATATTTTAATTTCACAACAATTCAATCAATAATTACTTATGTTTTACCATTACTAGCAGAATTTATATTGAAGAATTCAATCGATGAAAATATAATAGCTAATAATTTACATTACATTTATTGGCTATTAGGTAAAATGAGTTATATTTTGATAGTCGGTCGACAAAATGATGTATTAGAAATAAAATATATGGAAAAATTACAATCATCTTTATTTGCTGGTGGTTGTGAAAAATTAACTATTGAAAGTAATCAATATTTATATAATTTATTTGAATCGAATATTGTTAATTATATTCAATTTAAAAAAATTGATTATAATTTTGAACAATCATCTACCGATCAAGAATTTTTAATGTCAATTTATCATAATATTAATCAAGGTGCACAATTAATATCAAAAATAAAAATGTTTATCAAAGATAAACAATATTTATTACAAAAATCAATTGAACAACAAGCTAATTATGCATGTTCAGCTTTATTTGCTGTCTATAT